ATAGGAACCTTTTGGCCCTGTTCTGATGCTCACTCTGTGACTCATCCTGGTCTCTTCCATCCGTGGCTGTTTACCCTTTAAAATGGGGCTAAAACTCTTCCTTGGCTGGGGTTTGGTGAGGGACTGACAGGCTGATGCCTGACAAGCAGCGGGGCTTTAACTGGCTCTCTAAATGCCTCATTGTTTGCCGGGGAGTTTGATTTCACGTGGCGCCTTGAGAGCGAACGTGGCTGCAGCACTATGGCAGGGACCTGGCGAGGGCTTCACTTCTCTTACATCTGAGTGATGCTTGAGAGCTGGTCACAGCACCATCCCTCAGCATCTCAGTGCTGTCACCCTGCCTGAGTGGCAGGAACAAAGCACTGACGTAGGAGCTGGAAATCCTTGAGCTTTTTTATAGCATCAAATCCAGCGCGTCAGCTGCGCTCACGCCGTGGCTAATGTCTCTCTTATAATTGCCTGGTTGTTGGAGAGCTCCACACCATGCAGGATAACGCTGGTAAGGCAGGAAGCATGAAGGGTTATTTCACTGGAGAGCAGGGAAGAGCTTTTTGTGTGTGTAGCATCCAGCCATGGCTGAGGCTCGTGGCTGAAGATGACAAACCGAATTGAGCGTTGGCACGTCCAGGCTGTGCGGGTGAGAAGTGTAGCTGTCTTGTCTGCAACTAGGAGGAGTTTGTGTTCCTGCTCTGGTCCTTTCTGATCTGTGTCTAACTCATCTCCCTGCATCCTGTAGGAACGTTGAATGTCTTAATTTGCTGTTGAGCAGCGGTGCTGACTTGAGGAGGAGAGATAAATTTGGAAGGTAAGTGTGCTGTGGGTCTTGTAAGGGTGATTCCTCCAGCCCTAAAACAGCTGGATTGCACCAAGACTGGGTTTGGGTTGGGATGTCCTTAAGATTTCTACTGCATTTGGTGTCTAAAGCTGCTTCCTTCACCCCCTCTCACCCCAAGGGGTCTGGTTCTGGCTCTTCAGAAGGAGCTGCTGACCCAAACCCTTGAGCCAGAGCAGTGTGCAGCTCAGCAGCAGGGAGGTGGCTGGCACTGGGGGTCCTGCCTGGCTGCCAGGGGAGTTTCTCTGTGACAGGCAGTGCTGCTAAGCCCCCTTCTCCATTCCCCCCTCCCAGGACTCCACTGCACTACGCAGCTGCCAACGGCAGCTATCAGTGTACGGTGACGCTGGTCACGGCAGGAGCCAGTATTAACGAGGCTGACTGTAAAGGCTGTACCCCCTTACACTATGCTGCTGCTTCGGACACGTACAGGAGGTGAGTGTCTTGGTGATGTCCACACCTCGCTGCTGGTGCTGGAGAGGATGGCACACTGCTGGGTGGTGATGCTCTGCTGGCACACTGCTGGGTGGTGATGCTCTGCTGTTCCCTGGTCACCTCGCTGCAACTGGTGCTCAGTGGTTTGTGAAAAGGGGATTGCTTTGAGGAATGTGGGCTGGAGGGGGGGATAATCAGCAAACTGATGCAGGTCTCTGACCTTTCAGAGCAGAGACTCATTCAGGAAACAGCCATGACACTGATGAGGAGCCACTGAAGGAGTCCAGGCTGAAGGAGGCATTCTTGTGAGTCCACGTCGCAGCCCCGTCTGGCAGTTGTTTGTTGTTTACCCCTTCCCCGGACCCCTGTGTGCAGTCATTAGAAATACCTTGTTTCTGCTTACACTGAACTGAGCAGCAATGCCTTGGAGGAAACATCTGCTGATTTGATTCTCGAGGCCATTCTTCCTGATCCCCACTTCCAGGGGGCTTTGCATGTGCTCCTTGTCCTGAGGGAATCAGTACAGCATCTGCAGGGGTGGTCTCTGCAAAGCTCTGCTTCTCCAGTCTCCCCTTTTTCTTCATCTCCCCTCCAATCTCTCCTTTTTCTTCATCTCCCCTCCAGTCTCCCCTTTTTCTTCATCTCCTCTTTCTCTTGCTCATTGCAGTTGTTTAGAGTTCCTGCTGGATAATGGTGCTGACCCATCCCTCCGGGACAAGCAGGGATATACCGCTGTCCACTATGCAGCTGCGTACGGCAACAGGCAGAACCTCGAACTGGTGAGTGAGCCAGAGAAATCCCTCTGTGCTGCTAGGAGAGGGGGAGAAGTCCCCCCCTGTAAGGAACATGACAAGCCCTATGGTGTCCAGGTGTGGCTAAAGGACTGTGTGTGGTGTAGGTGACACTATGGTGTCAGGGTTTGCCCAGGAGGAAGGGAGATGGGTTTGGTTAAAAAGCGTGGGGACTCTTGGGGAGTCATTATGCTGTGAGGACCATGAAGGAAAGACCTGGGCCTGAGTGAGATTCCTGAGAGAAAGGAGCTTTGTTACCTGGCACAGGGGGATGTATGGATGTCTTGCTTAAATCCCTGGCAATAGAGCAAGGTTGGGCTTTTTTAAAAGAAAGCCTGGAGACCTGTGCCAAGGAAGAGCTCCTGCAGTGCAGAAAATGCTGTGTAGCTGTGTGAAATGCCTGCGTCGTTACAGGGTAAGCGTGCAGCCACGTGGGTGTAGGAAATCACGAGTAGTGGGGAGGCTTCTGGATCACAGAATCACAGAATATTAGGGATTGGAAGGGACCTGGAAAGATCATCCAGTCCAATCCCCCTGCCAGAGCAGGAACCTCAATGAGATCACACAGGAAGGCGTCCAGGCGAGTCTTGAATGTCTCCAGAGAAGGAGACTCCACACCCTCCCTGGGCAGCCTGTCCCAGGGCTCTGGCACCCTCACTGGAAAGAAGTTTCTTCTCAAGTTGAAGCAGAACCTCCTGTGTTCCAGCTCACACCCATTGCCCCTTGTCCTACCATTGGGCATCACTGAGAAGAGCCTGGCTCCATCCTCCTGACATTCACCCTTTACATATTGATAAACATTAATGAGGTCACCCCTCAGTCTCCTCTTCTCCAAGCTAAAGAGCCCCAGCTCCCTCAGCCTTTCCTCAGCAGGGAGATGCTCCACTCCCTTCATCATCTTGGTGGCTCTGTGCTGGACTCTCTCCAGCAGTTCCCTGTCCTTCCTGAACTGTGGGGCCCAGAACTGGACACAATATTCCAGATGTGGCCTCACCAGGGCAGAGTAGAGGGGGAGGAGAACCTCTCTTGACCTACTAACCACCCCCCTTCTAATGCACCCCAGGATGCCATTGTCCTTCCTGGCCACGAGGGCACAGGATAGCAGAGGTGTGATGTGAGTGTCTGTGCAGGGCCCAAAGCCAGGTTAAGGTCGGTCCCATCTTGAAATTCAGGTCATTCTGAAGCAGATGAGCTGGTTTTCTAACCCCTCTGCAGCTTGTGATAGTGTCACTGGGGTGTCTGTCGAAGCCTCCGTGAGTCCAGGATCAGTCACAGTTTTGCGTTGTTGCTGTTGCAGCTTCTGGAAATGTCTTTTAACTGCCTGGAGGATGTGGAAAGCACCATTCCAGTCAGCCCTTTGCACTTAGCTGTAAGTACAGCTCACCCAACCCCAGGGTGGTGGAGGGCACTTGGCTCCAAGGGGGTTCACACTGGGTCCTGGAGAGGTGCCCGCTCCCGGGCAGCGCCGGCTGCGTCCCTCCAGCTTTGGGGGTGCTGAGTGGGGCAGAGGAGGAAAGGCCCTGGCAGCTGGGGAGTGGTTTTTCCCACAGTCCCTTTGATTTGTATTTCAAACTCCTTGCTCTCTCCAGGGCTTTCTGGTTGCTGTAGTTTGGAGCCACCTCTCTTGTCTTGAGTCTGGGCAAGGGGTGACAGTAGGCGAGGGCTTTGCGTGGGACCGGGATGCAAACAAGAGGCAGTGGCTGAGCAGGGCTCATCTGGCTGGAGGGTCCCAGGGAGCAGAAATTGCCCTGGAGGGCAGGACTTCTGGGTGCAGCCTCTCAGGGCATCACTTTTAACAAGCTCTACTGTGTCCTCAGGCCTATAATGGTCACTGTGAAGCCCTAAAGACACTTGCTGAAACCCTCGTGAACCTCGACGTGCGGGACCACAAGGGGCGGACGGCGCTGTACCTCGCCACGGAGAGAGGCTCCACGGAGGGCGTGGAGGTGCTC